CTCTTCTCTAGAACCATAGCTCAAAGGCATCAACTTTTCAATCATCCATAGTCATTGTCCAGCTCTCTGATGCATAGCAAGTAATTGCAAAGACCATGGCTTGTATTAGGTATACCTTAGTCTTCAGACTGACATCATTGTTCCTTAGCAACTTGGAGAGGTCTCTGACAGCAGACTTTCCCAATGCAATGTGTCTTTTAATTTCCTAGTTGCTAGTACCAAGAGTGTTGATTGGAGAGCCAAGCAAACTAAAGCTGTAAATAATCTCAATCTCTTTGTCAGCCATCATGACGCTACCAATCGGCCCAGTGGTAAGAATCTTTGTTTTCTTGATATTGACTCTCAATCCATACTGAAGGCTGCAGTCCTTGACCCTCTTCAGCAAGTGCTTTAGGTCCTCCAAAGTTTCAGCAAGCAGGGTTGTGTTATCTGCACAACACAGATTGTTTATGGGTCTACCTCCAATCCTGGCGCCACACTTCTCTTCATAGAGCCCAGCCTCCCAGATAATTTGTTCCGCATATAGATTGAAAAGATAGGGAGACAGGACACATCCCTGGCATACACACTTCCCAATTTTGAACCACTCAGTGTTTCATTACTCTGTTCTGACAGCTGCTTTCTGGTCCAAGTATAAATTTCGCATAAGCAAAATCAAGTGTTCTGGGATCCCCATTCTTCTCAGAGTCAACCACAGTTTGTTGTGATCTACACAGTCAAAAGCCTTTGCATAGTCAATGAAACACTGACATTCCTCTGGTACTCTCTGCTTTCAGCCAAGATCTGTCTGACAGGTTCACACAATTTGATGGGTAGAGAGAGAGGTGGGTAAAGGAAAAGGGAAAGGCCAGATGTGCAAAAAAATGTATACAAACTTTGTAAGTAAACCAGTATAAAATAATTTTTTTTAAATGCTATGGGCCAAATTTTGAGTGTTCCAGAAACCATTAAAAGAAGACAGAAGGAATACAAAGAGTCACTCTCCAAAAGAATTGACTGATACAAAACCATTTCAAGAAGTAGCACATGATCAAGAACCAATGGTAATAAAGGATGGTCCAGGCTGCTCTGAAGGCATTGGCAAAAAAAATAAAGACCTAGGAATTGATGGAGTATTAAAGGATATATTTCAACAACCGATGCAGTTCTGTCTGTGCTGACCAGATTGTGTCAAGAAATCTCTAGGACAGCTATCTGCTAACTTACTGGAAGAGATCTCTATTTATTCCCATTCTAAAACCAGTGACCCAAAGGAATTGAAAATTATCAAACAATATAATTAATATGACATGCAAGCAAAATCTTGCTTAAGATTATAAAAAATTGATTAGAAAAGTGTATCTACAAATAATTACAAGAAATACAAGTTGGGTTTAAAAGAGGTCGTGGCACCAGGGACATTATGGATCATGGCTGAAAGCAGAGAGTACTAAAAAGATGCTTATTTGTGTTTCACTACTATGCAAAAGCATTTGACTGTGTGGATCACAACAAACTATGGGAAACATTGAGAAAAATTGGAATCCCAGAGCACTTAATTGTGCTCTTGTAAAACCCACACCAAAAAGCTGTTGTGCACGCAAGGAAAAACTGCATGGTTCAAAATCAAGAAAGGGGTGCATCAGGAGTTTAATCTTTATCCATACCTTTTCAATCTAGATGCTGAACAGATCATCTGGTAAGCTGGACTTAAGAATAAAGTAGCATCAGGAGAGGAGGAAGACTCATAAACCACATGCATTATCCAGATGACTCAACCTTGCTCATTGAAATTGAGAAGGAATTGAAGTGTTTGCTGCAGAAGATCAAGGACTGCAGCCTTCAATATGGATTACATTTCAACATCAAGTAATCAAAAATCTTCACCACTGGGCCAATAGGCAGCATCATGATAGATGGAGAAAGCATTGAAGTTGTTGATTATTTCATTTTCCTCACAATCAACATCTTTGACAATCAAAAGATGAGTTGCATTGGGAAAACCTGCTGTCAAGGATTAATGCAGAATACTAAAGAGCATTATTGTCAGTCTAAAAACCAAGGTGCACCTAACCCAAGCCATGTTCTTCTCCGTTGATTGCTATGCATCTGAGAGCTCGACAATAAAGATGATAGAAGATGTATCAATGTCTTTATGCTGTGGTGTTAGAGAAGAGTATTGAGTATATCACAGACTGCCAGGAGAACAGACAGATATGTCCTAGAGAAGGTGAAACCAGGTTGTTCCTCGGAGGCAAGGATTTTGAAGCACCATCTCACATACTTTGGACATGTCACTAGGAGGGACATTGGAGTCATTGGAGAAGGACACCATACTTGGAAGGATAGAAGGTCAATGTGAGAAAGGAAGGCTCTGGATGAGAGGGATTGACATAGTGACTGTGGCAATGGGGTCAGGTGTGTTGGAAACAGTGAGGTTGACTCAAGATAGGGCAAGGTTCAGAGCCATTGTTCATAGGGTGCTATGAGTCATAGTTGACTCAATGACATGGTTGACACCACCACAAGCTAGTTGTGGCACAGTGGCTAAAGCACTGACTACTAGCTGAAAGGTTGGCAGTTGGAACCCACTAACCGCTTCACCAGAGAAAGATGCGGCAGACTGCTTCTACAGAGATTTGCATCCTTATAGAAACTTAACAGAAGTCAATATAGGGTAGTTCTTGGTCCTGTAAAGTTGTATTGAGTTGGAATTGATTTAACAGTAATGGAATTTTGGTGGGTATGAAACTTACAGAAATAGTTCAACAACTCTATTTTAATTTTGCATAGTTAATTTAAAAATTTGTTTCCAAATATTTCCCATTCACTGGCATTTCTTTGTTCTTAACTTTCAGATTTTCTATCTGGGATTTTCTTTCTGTGTGAAGAAAGACATATCTTTAGACTTTCTCTTAATGAACAACAATTAGGAGCATATTCTGCTCTTGCTTGCCTGAGAATGCCTTTCTTTTTGAAATGGGCTGACTTTTTTTTTTTACTAGATCATATTCTATTGTCGTCTGGATTCTTTTGTTGCTGATGAAAAGTCAATTATCTGCCTGACACTTTGAGGATAATCTGTGTTTTCTCTTGTTTGCTTTTAAGGGTTGTTGTTGTTTTGTATTCTGTGCCTTGACTATGAGTTATTTAAATGTGGAATTATTATTAATTTGCTTGGTATCTGGAGGGGAAAGTTCTCAGCTATTATCTTGTCACTTAGTGCTTCTGTTCCATTTTTTCTTTTATATTGTTTTGTTACTAAGATTTACTTCAGAGCTTCTCAAATTATCTTCTAAGTCACATGAAGTTGGTCTTAATCAGGGTTCTCCAGAGGAACGGAATTAGTAAGAATATGTATGTGTGTGTAGATATTCATACCATATGGATAGAGAAAGATTTATTTTGAGGAATTAGTTCAATGTGGGTGGAGTGGCTAGCAAGTTCCAGCTCCATAGTTTAAGTGACAGACTACACATTCTAGCAGTTACATGACCTGAGATTATTAAGTACGTTATCTAGGGAAAGGGTGGAAGTCATTTATCAGGATGTTTATTTGTATTTAAAATTCTCTACCTAAAACCTCTTGTTTTGCTTCTAAGGCCTTCTGCTGAATGAATGGGGCTAACCCACACTTGTTAAGTCCCATCAAATAGTACAAATCAGAATGACCCAATGAACAACAGATCTGAAACCTGCCCTATCCTGTACCATCTTTATCCTCTTGACACATTTGAACTCACTGACACAGACACTGTATCAATCCATCTTGTTGAGGGCTTTCCTGTCTTTAGATGATTCTCCACCTTTCTAAGCTTGATCTCCAAGAATAGCCTCTTCTGCAACATGCCCAAATATGTGAGACAAAGCTTTGTTATTCTTGTTCTGGGAGCACTCTGGTTGCATTTTCTCCTAGACATATTTATTTGTCTAGTCATTCTTTTGGTAGTCCATGAGTCCATGGGATAGTCAGGGCTCTTCTCCAGTGCCACAACTTAAAGGCATCAATTCTTCTCCTATTATCTTTATTTATTGTCCAGCTGTCAGATGCATAGCAGGTAATTGGAAAGCCTTTGACTTTAATCAGGCGCACTTTAGTCTTAAAATGTTATCATTGCTCTTCAGGCCTTTGAAGAGGTCTCTGACAGCAGACATTCCCAATTCTATGTGTCTCCTGATCTCCTCACTGCTGGTACTAAGGGTGTTGACTGTTAATCCAAGCAAGATAAAATCATTGATCAATTTCAATCTTTTCTCCATCTATCATAATGTTGTTTATTGGCCCAGTAGTGAGGATTTTTTTTCTTGATATTGTGATGTCATCCATACTGAAGGCTGTAGCCTTCTTGATCCTCTACAGCAAGCGCCTGAGGTCCTTCTGACAAGTAAGGTTGTGTCATCTGTATATTGCAGGTTGTTGATGAGTTGTCCCTAATCATAATGTACATTTTTCATAAAATCCAGCTTCTTGAATTATTTGCTCCGATACAGAATAAATAGGTGTGGGGAAAGCATATAGCCCTGATACATACTTTTCCTGACTTTAAACCTTGCAGTGTTCACTTGCTGTGTTTGGACAAAGTCTTGGTCTAGATATAGGTTTTACATAAGCAAAAATAAGTGTTCTGGAACATCCAGTTTTTAACCTACACTGTTATTATTGTGTACCATTCAGTCAGAACCAAACCATAGCTGACCCTCCAGTGGATTTTCAGAGGCAATTAATCCCTCAGCAGGAAATTGCCTATCCTTCTCTTGTGGAGCACCTTCGAACCGAGTGCCTTCATGATGGCAGCACAGGCTTTTACCACTAGGCCACTGAGAGACGGTAATTTACTCAAGGTCAACAGATTAAATGCTAATGATGTAAAAATATCATAGCAATATCTATTATTGACAACAACAAAGTTAGATGCTACCAAATCCACTATAATTCATAGTGACCCTGTGAACAACAGATAGGAACCTTTCTGCCCGCCAGACCGGGGAACGCCGCTGCCAGCCGGGGGAACGCATCCCACCGCCCGATGGGGGGAACGCACGCGGCCGCCTGCCAGACCAGGAACGCCCGCCGCCGCCCGCCAGACCGGGGGAACACTGCCGCCAGACCAGGGAAC